GGTCCTATAAAACCACAGTCACGTGGAGGAAAAAAATATATATTGACAGTAATTGATGATTATCTGCGAGTTATTTTTGTAGAATTATTAGAAAAAAAAGAGTGATACAACGGAACATCTGAAGAAACTAATCAAACGCTGAGAGCCTGCCCGGAGGATTGGGGCCTGATCGGAACGATGCTCGGTAACCGGGAGCAGCAGCTCAGGCAGAGCAGGATATCGTTCGGGGTCCCTGGAAGTCCGCAATGGTCGTCGAGCCCCTTGCTGATTGTCGGGACGACAATCTTGAAGAGGAGGGGCAGTGTGTTACGGCCCTGCCGTTGTCCGGATCCCGTCGGCAGGAAGATTGTATATTGAAAGAAAATCAGACTGGATTAAAATTAAAATCTATCTGTTCGGACAATAGAGGTGATTTTACAGGAAATTATTTGAAAAATTGGTTAAGCAAAAAAGGAATAAAACATGAACTAAGTCCGGCAAGAACACCACAATGCAACGGAGTAGTGGAACGAGCGAATAAATCTATAATAGAAATGACAAGAACGATGATGTCAGATTCGAAATTGCCACTGGATTTCTGGGCTGAAGCAGTGTGTACAGCAACACATGTAAAAAATAGAATCAAATCAACAGTACATACGAAAGGAAGAGTCCATACGAAATGTGGAATCAAAGAAAACCTAATATAAAATATATGAGAGTATTTGGATGTACAGCATATTTATTGGACAAAGGATGCACTAAGAAGAAATTTGAATCGAAGACATTGAAAGGAGTGTTTGTGGGCTATTCTACAAATAATATGTATCGAGTATATATCCCGGAGACAGGCAAAATTAGAAGTGATTGCGATGTTAAATTTGACGAAAATAGAATGGGAAATGAATTATTAAACGAACATGACAACCAAACAGTTAACAAAAATTTGGAATTAATCATCGTGGGATTAAATTTAAAAAATAATGAAAGAGAAGAGTCAGATGAAGAAGAAGCAAATGAAGAAGAAAGAAGAACTGAAACAGAAATCAGTGAATATGAAGATGCTGTGTTAGAAGAATCTGACAAGGATGACATGAAAAATGAAAATAATAGTGAGGAATTGCAAAGACAACATGAAGAAATACGAAATAGAGGAAGACCAAAAGGAACAACCAGAGAAGCAATAGAATTGCGAAGACAAATACAACAACAAGAAGATGAACAACGATGTAGAGAACAGAATTTAAGAAGATCTAAAAGGATAAAAGATCAACAAGCAGCGATGTTATCTAATGATGAAGAAATACCGAAAAATGTAAAAGAAGCACTAGAATCTAACGACTCAGAAGATTGGAGACAGGCTATGGATGAGAAGCTGGCATCAATAAAGAAACATGATGTATGGGACATAGTACCGCGCCGAAAGACAAGAAAGTGATAAAGAATAAATGGATATTCAACATAAAAGAAAACCCGAAACAGCGAAGATATAAAGCACGATTAGTAGCGCTAGGATGTGGACAACGCCCAGGACTGGACTATGAGGAAATATTTGCACCGATCGTGAGAATTGAAACGATTAGATTGTTATTTAGCATAAGTGCACAAATAGGAAGGAAGATAAAGATATATGATGTAGAGACTGCTTTTCTACATGGAAAACTTAAAGAAGAAATTTTTATGGATTTACCGGAAGGATATATTGTAAAAATAATAAAAATCAAGTATGCAAGTTGAAGAAGAGTATATATAGCTTAAAATAAGCAGGAAGATGTTGGAATGAATATTTAACAGGAACATTGATTAAAACTGGCTTACAATAATCTAAGGAAGATCCATGTTTATTTTATGTCATAAATGGAAACAATTTTTTATTTTGTGGAATACACGTAGATAATATGTCATTAGTATCTAGTAATGATTTTTTTGTGGAATTTTATATGAAGAAAATTAAAAAACAATTAAATATAAAAGATCTTGGAACAGCAAAGACAGTTTTAGGCATGCAATTAGATCAACAAGAAGGAAGGACATATGTACATCAGAAGAACTACATTGAAAAATTATTAAAGCTATATGGAATGGAAGATTGTAATCCAGTAGGATCACCAATTGATACTAATCAAAAGTTAGAGGAATGTGAAGGAAGTAATAAATGTGATGCTAAATTATATCAAGAACTACTTGGAAGATTGATGTATCTGAGTGTGCATACAAGACCCGATTTATCATTTCCATTGAGCTGTCTGTCACAATTTAATAATGAACCAAAAATAATGCATATGGTAGCGCTGAAACGAATTCTGCGATATCTGAAGGGAACGATCGAGTATTGCCTAGAGTTTAGAAAAAGGAGTACTTTCACCGGAATTGAATGTGAAACTGATGCATCGTGGGATAGTACAAGGGATGCTAAATCATTTACTCGATTGTTAATATATTGAAATGGAGACTTGATTCATCGGAAAAGCAAAAAACAATCAGTGGTTGCATTATCTTCAACAGAAAGCGAATTAGAAGCAATGGTAGAAGGACTAAAAGAAGTAATATGGAAGAAGAAATTAATGAAAAAGATTGGATTATCAAGCGAAGTAAAAATAGAAATGAGATGCGACAATTTGAATGCAGTTAAATTAGCAAATGGAGGCAACTTTAAGACAAAGTCCAAGATGCTTAATAGAAAATGTCATTACATACAAGAAGAAGTTAAAAGAGAAGATATAAAAGTGAAACATGTATCACATGAAATGATGATTGCAGATTGTTTAACAAAACCTTACCTGGACCCAATATTGAAAAACATCAAAAAATTTATGTATTACAAGTCAATAAAAACAAGGGGGCTGAATGTGGAGTTGTTTTTATTACTAGCGATATGGAGATACTGTAGATGACCGGTTCGTGGCGCTAGGAGCTAGGGAGCTAGAGAGTTTCCGATGAGCAGAGGTCGCGCTGGGAGAACGAGTCGCAGTCGTTGATACGAGCCTTTTTTTGTATTACAAGAGAAAAAGAATATATCACCTAGTTTATTATACAGGGTGTCCGTCAATTTTCGACCTTAACGAAATAAGGAAATAGATTGGCTCAAATTAAGAAGAAATAACCTGCATTGTTTTGGGATTGTCGCAGTAATTAACGAAAAATTAAATAAAGAAGATCGGCCAATCTGCGTGAGTAGAAGCGCGCGGCGACGAGAATCGTCCCATTGTAATCCAATACTACGAGCGCGGCGAAGCGATGGGCGGGTCACTCTCCGAGATATGATGGTGGTTTGCGATATATCGCAATATCGCGCCGAAAAATGACCCGTCCTTTTAATAGCGAGAAAATGATGCGCTATCATTTCCACATCATCTTGCGGTAGATAGCATGGTGCGCTTTTTTATAGTGGTTTCCCCCATAGGCCTATTCCACTCTTAATTTGAAAATTATTCAAAATGCCATTACTATACGCTGAATATATCGTAAATGTAAAAAATTAATGGTGACAGTACCTTTACAAAAATTGCTCCGTGATTGAAAATCCCTCGATAAAATGTATTGCACACATTGATAATGATACGATGATAAAATGAATCCTTCAAGAATCCTTTCTTCATCTCGTACACGAAGGCGCACTGCTGGACCGTTATCCCGATATTATGCACGACACCGAGTTTCACATAATTATTGCACAACACGTAAAATTGTACGGCCACTTGGTTTTCGTGCACGCCCGGGAAATGATTCCATGTAAATTGCGGCCGCATGATAAGTATTTTCTCCCGCTAGTCGGTATGCCATCGTGCGTGCGAGCATATGTACGTGAGATACTGGAAATGAAGGAAATGAAGAAAATGAAGGAAAACGAAAAATGTCACAATTCTGATATTCGATCATCATTTCTCAGGATTAACCGATTTTGTTCAAACAAGTCGCAATCGAAAACATATATTCATTTTATAATAAAAGTGTCGTTAGATTTTTGATTACGGCTTTAGTTTATTAAATATCTTAAACCGAAAGTTTACTTGACGCGCAATTCCGGATAAGGTACTTGGTAGCGCCGCGTCGAGAGCAGTGACTCTCAACTCAATTCTTGGAACTCAATGCTTGGACTTGTTTTTTATGTACTTGGTGTTATGTACTTTTTGTTATATATTGGTATTATGTACTTTTTGTTATAATTTACTGAAAATAGTAATTTATTTATATAAAACTAAACAAATAAATTTACTAAAAATTGAAAAATATTTTATAATACATATTATTATATAATTAAATTTTATAACAGCGTATCGTCAACGCAGAAGTAATAATGAACAACTTTTGTCTTCAATAATGACCGATATAGAATTGGATATTCTATATAATATACCTTATCGAAACACTGAAATCGATCCTATGTTACGTTATAATCCGGATGAATGTGTGATAACTAAAATCACACGTAAACAAATTACATTTACAAAACGTATTGGTAGCGGCAAATTCGGAAGGGTAAAAATTAATTTTTTCAAGCAATGTTTCAAATTAATTTCTGGGTCAACAAAACAGATATGTATTTTCTAATCAAGATATAAATTACACAAATTTTTATAAAAGATTATAAGTAATATAAAATTTAGATGAGACAACAAACATGCACTTTATTATATATTTTTCGTTGAATTATTTAATATAAAGTAAAATATAATATTACTTGACATTACACTATACATTTTCTAATGAAGTACGCATGTAAATTTGTGTGAAATATTTCGCAGGTGTTTCAAGGAAATGTGAAGAACTTAGAAAGATCGGGCACAGAGATATCCGTTGCAATAAAAACGCTTCGGAAAGATGCTTCTTCCAATGAGAAAAAGGAATTTTTAAAAGAAGCCAAGCTTATGAGTCACTTTCGACATAAACATATATTAAGATTGTTGGCCATTTGTGAAGATGGGGGTTCTCCATTACTAGTGTTGGAATTGATGGAAACTGATCTGTTAAAATATTTGAGAGAATGTTGAAATTTGCAACCGTCAGATTCGCATGCTCTGCGTTTACAGGATTTGTTCGCCATGTGCGAAGATGTTGCGCGAGGTTGTTGTTACTTGGAGGAATTGCGTTTCGTACATAGAGATCTAGCGTGTCGCAATTGTTTAGTATCTTCGAGAAATAGTGAGAATCGTATCATCAAAATTGGAGATTTTGGACTAGCTAGAGATATCTACGAGGATAATTATTATCGCATGGTAAATACAATTATTAAAAAAAGTTAATGATTAAAAAATGAATTTGTAAAAAAATTCTTTGCATTTTTTTATCATAATAGTATCGTGCATTGTTTCTTCAAGTAATATGAAATATAAATAGTTTTTATTTATATATATAGCAAGAGATAAATGAATGTTTTTCATTTTGCACATATTGTAAAAATGAATAATTTGAACCAGAAGAAATTTTTGTTAAAATCATGTTTTAGGAAGAAGGTTTGCTTCCTGTTCGTTGGATAGCACCCGAATCTTTGATAATCAATATATTTACTTCTCAAAGCGATGTTTGGTCTTTTGGTGTTTTAATGTGGGAAATTACATCGTTGGGCGAGCAACCTTATATTGGCAAGACTAATGAAGGAGTGATAAATTATGTACGCGTTGGAGGCAGATTGCCGATGCCTCTTAATTGTCCGTCAGCATTGTACCAGTTGATGCTACGTTGCTGGAGTGCAGCGGATGCTAGACCAAGTTTCAAATTTTGTTTGAAAAATATTATAGCATTAAGAACGAACATGGAAGATGCCTTACTGAGTCCAGTCGATACTATTTAGCCGACATAAGTATTAAATTTATCTTTTTTTCCGATCGATTCGATAAATCTTAATGTAGGAAAAATATATAGATGTTGCAAAATATTTTAAATGTCTCTTCTTTTATATAAAATATAAAGAATTCGTATATACCATTCTAATATAGCCATTATTTATATATTTTTATTATATTTTTCATATCAGCATAATATTTTTAAGCTTAAAACTTTATATAACACAATGTACTAAATTATAAAATTTAATATAATTACAAAATGATATTATTATTAATAAGTAGGTTGTATGCACACAGTCTTTTAGTTTTTAATCGTATCCAATCACTATGCATTTCTATTCAATATATTTTCTTCGAGTTTTTGTATTATTATATGGTTTATTGTATTTCTTTGTGTTAACATCATAAAGATCACTTGTCATGTTTACTCCTTTCTATGGAGTTCTTTGGAATATTTAAATCACTCACGTTTAAGATATATTCAAATCATTGTAATTGCCTTTTATCTGTTTTCTCGATTACTGATTATTTTTTCTTTCATTTTATTCAAAAATATTAATGTAATTAATATAACATATTAATTAACATATAATTTATTACGCGAAAATGTCCAAAATATACGTATAATACGAAATTTAGTAAAAATTTTTATATAGTTTAGACAAGCCTGATTAGCGATGATTAATTACGCGACATTTATCATTAATAATCGATATGCAATAATAGAATATAATAAGTAGAATAATAATAATAGAATATAATAAGAGCCTAATTCTTTATCTATTTATTAATTTGTTAGAATATAATAAGTTTTATATAACGTAAATAATTGTGATCAAAAGAGTCATTAATAAAATTATTGATCATTTCTTCGATTGTAAAAGAAAGTATTTGCATTACTGGCGCCTTTTGTGTAGATTATCAAAGAAAATATTCAAAACGCGAAAAAATAAAATGAGCTTCAATGTAAATCGACAATTAAATTACAAAATAAATCGCGATTTAAAATTTGCGAGAAAACGCGACAAATAAATAAATCGATAATATTCAAAATATTCATATTGCGTATAATTTTTATAATATAATAATTGAAGCCATCAGATATGCGGGTGACAAATCGGTAATAAAAAGAAAAGCGATTTTAAAAATGGAGAAAGATTAATATCTTGTTTCTATATCAGATTTCGCAAGATCAATCTATGAAGAAAAGTTAAATGATCCATTGAACGTCGAGAATTTTACTGTAGGAGGAAACGAATCCCGGATCTTCTAGACTATTCCCAACAGCAATGATTTCAATAATAAATCAACGACAATTATCCCTCGTCATTATTTTCAATTCACGAAATTGATATTCACGTCAGAAAACATGTTCTTTCATTATTAAGAAATATATTTCTTTATTGAAAATTAAGTGAATATAACACTTTTTTATAGAAATGTAATGACGAACGATTACATTTATAAATAATAAAATCCATGCATCATTAGAGTTTGTGTTGAATATGCGAACACATATAATAATTTTCGGGTACCTTTTCATGCTCGCGAGACAAATCGAACCCGATAACAGCAAGATTTAAAATTTCAATTGGAATAGTTTGCAAAAAATAAATCAAATAATTTTAATTCTAGAATAATTCTTTAGATTCTTATAACGTTTAAATTAATAATTTTTTTTCTTTTAATCAATATCTTACTGATACAGGGGTATCCATTCGATTTGTCTCGAAATTTTTAAGTATTTGCACATTTTATGTAACATTCATATAGCATTTCGCGTATATATAATATACATATAATATTAATAAAAATTATAAAAATATTTTGGATACGTTAATTTGTGCATATATTTTATATTATTCATACATATATAAAAATGGCATATATTTAAAAACTAATGTTCTAAAATGGCGATGGATGTCCAATACCTGTAAATAGTTTCTTAAAAGAAACTAAAAACTAACATTAATATTTCCAGTATTTAGAAATAATCTTTCAAAAAGGATAAATTATATTAATTAATAAAATATATTCGTTCGTAATCATTTTTCTCAAAAAAGTTAATAAAACCTAATTACAATATGCAATTACTTGAAAAATAGAAATTTATACATAACACTATATCCATATTTAATCTACTAATAAATCTTTCTGGCATTAGACAATAATAATACCAATCCTAATAATGATAGAACATTTTTTATGAAGAAAAGAAAAGATACATTTCTCTCATCTAAATATATATTATTTAAATTAATTCAATGTTAAAGAAGAGTATCGCCGTTGAATTACTACCGAAATCATTGCTTTTGGAAATTGCTAGGAAAACCTGGGATTAATTCCTTCAATCTTACAATAAAAATTCCCAATTTTCAATAGGACACCGAATTAGACGTCGCGAATGGATTTCACAAGAACCAGTGAGAAATAATTCTCCATGATGAAAATCATTTCGACTCCTCGGTGATACGAGCCACGCAACTTTCGTTAACGTTTATTTAACGGAAGGAACAATGACAACTCTTTTACTAAAAAGACAATCTCGTCTAGGAACGCGCAAAGAAACGCGAGAAAAATACGGTGTTTTGGCAACGGTAATTTATTAATTTATTTATGAATATGTTCCGATACGAAAAAAAAAAACGTAAATATAACTGAAAAAATATAACTGAAAAAATAAATGATTAAATTCATAATAATTAACTCGCGATTCTATAATATCGAAGGTGATCCTTAAATTTTGTGAAGCTAATATTTAATCGATGATTTATCACATGGAATCTTCACTCTCTTATTCGACATTTCTTTATATTTAATTAGCAATATTTAGAAATATCTGACGAGAGGGACAGCGATAAAATTCTTTTGTTAAAATGATAATCTTGTATAAGGACGCGAAGAAAACGCGGAAAGAACATGACATTTTTGCAATCATAATTTAATAATTTATTTTAAGAATATTCAGTTCCGCGCGATAGCGAATTCATAAATAAATAAAGTTAACAGAAGCATATCATTCAATTTATAATAATTGATTCGTGATTCTGTAACGAAGGTGTCCATCAAATGTTATAATGATTATATTTAATCATTAATTTAGCATCGGATTTTTACATTTTATATAAAAATTTTCCGAATTTATTAATGACTTTTTGACATGAAAATACATACAGTTTTGTGAATATTTCAAAAATATATACTGCAAAAACAAATATTTAAATTTAATGAATTACTATTATGTCAATTACTATTATTTAATCATTATACGTATACTTTCGATCATTTTTCGTGTAATTTACATAAGAATTTAGAAAATACAATTTCGTAAATACAATTTCATATAACATAATTATAGTCATAATTGTATTGTATTTTACAATTAAAATATCAATGTTAGTTTATAATTAAAATACAATTATAACTATTTATATAATTTACAATTTACAATTTACAAATTTATGATGCTATTAATATCAAATAATAATATTCCATTTATTCAAATATTTAATAACATCGATATAATAATTTAATATTGACATTAACATTAACATTTGGATTAAATATTATATTTGATTTAATATACATATATTTTTAAATTTCAAAATAAAATGTAACATGTTAAAATTTCTTAAACGTTAATAATTGCGCAATTTCTTTAATATTTCTGAAAACAATTTTGATAATTTAAATTTCACTTTTAAAACATTTTTAAAACATGTTATACTTATTTTCACAACGTCTTTAAAAATAAATTCAACTTAATTAAAATAATTTTAATTTATCCCTAGGATTATTGGGATATTAAAAAAAAGAATAAATCTTTCTTAGTAGCCTCCCCCCTAATAACCCTACTATTAAAGGATTTTAATAATTTTAATCGCTCTAACAATCTTACTATTACAAAATTCTAATGATCTTAAGAGCCCTAACAACCCTAATATTAATAGAAGGATTCTAATGATTTTTCTTAATAGCCTTAACCCTACTTCCTGATTAACTAAAATTATTCGAGATATTTAAAGAACCTATCTCTAATCATCATCTCACCTAATCATGTATATATTTTAGTCGCGTGTCCTAACCGCGTGCCCTAATCGGGTACCCTAACCGCGTATCCTAACCGCGTATCCTAATCGTACTCTTCAGGCCAGTTGAACCTATCTTTCGTTGATCCTGGCCGCTTTCTTTCTCGATCTCTAATCAGAGGTCAAGGAAGGAGAGAATTACTTCTCTTTTTACCGGATGATTACCAGCAAAAGAGCGTGAAATATTTACGCTCATTTAGTAATGATCGTTCGATTACACGATCGTTCGTTAAATATTGAATATAACTTTATTTTAACTGAAATAAAGCCAAATTATTACAAATTTATATAAATTATATTTTATAATAAAATATATAATTAATGTGTGTCTATTTATCATATTACAAATTATTTAATTAATTAATCATTGGGCTTTATATTAAGTTAAAGTAAAGTTTAGAAACAACATATACAAATTCTACAATGAATGAGCTATGAGCAAATTGGAAGATAAGTGCGTATTATAAAAATAAATTAGCATCAAAAATTGATAAAATTAATAATTGTTAATGCGTTTTCTTTATTTAATAAATTAGACAAAATCATTACAAAAAATCTCTTTTTTTTTAATTAACATTCCAATATATTTTCGCAATAGATGTAAAGCATAAGTTCGAAAGAACTTATTAACCTTATTTAATTTAATTTAATGAATTTAATTTAATTATTTAATTTAATTTATTTAATTTCATCCATCTTATCTTATCCATTTTAAGGCAACGGATTTATCTACAATCTACAATCTACATTTGCATCTACATCTAAATCTCTACGAATCCGTTACCTTAAGTTAAATAAAAGTTTTTCACACTCACCGGCAATGATGCGTAACAGCGGAGTTGTTGTTATCGAAGCTAGTTCTCTGTAACATACAAATATAAAATTCATTTATAATAATGTCCACAAAATACAATTAA